AGGGGGTGCGGGGCTGGCTGCGGGCAGGGGGCTGGCTCAGGGCAGGGCAGGGGGTGCAGGGGATGGAGACGGGGGGGGCTAGCTCAGGGCAGGCTGGCGGGTACTCACAGGGAGAGCGGCTCGGGGCAGCAGCGCACGGAGCAGCCCCAGCAGCAGGACGCAGCCCAGCCCCAGCAGAGCAGCCGGGGACCCGCCGGGCAGCAGCAGCAGCAGCAGCGGGAGCCCCAGGGCCAGCGGCGGCAGCAGCAGCAGGGCCCGTCCCCGGGGCCGGGCGGCCCGCATGACTCCCGCAGCGCCGCGCAGCGCCGCGCCCCGGCCGGGCGGTGCAGCCCGCGGGCTGGGTGCGGCCGGAGGCGGAATGAGATCACTTCCCGGCCGGCGCAGCCCATCCCAGCGGCGGGAAGCGGGTTACCCATTAGCCGGCGCCGGGCGAGCCTCCCAGACACGCGGCTCCTGCAGGTAACTCCGCGTCGGGAGCAGCCTCGGACCGCGGCCGCCCAGCTCCGCCAGGGGCTGCCCGGGCAGGGACCGGGGATCGGCCGGCGCCGCCGCGAGCCCAGAGCCGGGCTGAGCCGCGCCTGGGGGACGGGATCCGTGCGACTGTACCGGGGGGAGCCAGGCACAGAGACCTGCACACACACAGAGACACACACACACACACAGAGACCTGCACACACACAGAGACACACAGACACACACAGAGACCTGCACACACACAGAGATGCACAAACACACACAGAGATACACACACACACACAGAGAGAGACCTGCACACACACAGAGATGCACACACACACACACACACAGAGACCTGCACACACACAGAGATGCAAAGACACACACACACACACACACACAGAGAGATGCACAAACACACACACACAGAGATGCACACACAGAGACATGCACACACACACAGAGATGCACAAACACACAGAGAGATGCACAAACACACACACACAGAGATGCACAGAGACGCGCACACAAAGGTACAGACACACACACACACGCGCGGGCACGGACACACACAGGTAGACACACGCACACAGAGAGACGCACGCGCACAGACACACACACACGCGCGCGGGCACAGACACACACACACGCGCGCACAGACACACACACAGAGACGCGCGCACACACGCGCACAGACACACACGCGCGGGCACAGACACGCACACAGAGAGACGCACGCGCACAGACACACACGCGCGCACACACACACACGCACAGACACACAGAGACGCCCACAGACACACGCGCGCACAGACACGCGCACACACACACACAGACGCGCACACACAGAGACACGCACAGACACCCACACGCGCGCGCACAGACACACACACACGCGCACAGACACACACACACAGAGACGCGCACAGACACACACGCGCGGGCACAGACACACACAGAGAGAGACGCGCACAGACACACACACACAGAGACAGAGACACACACACACACACACACGCGCGCACAGACACACACACACAGAGACGCGCACACACGCACACACACGCGCGCCCAGACACAGGCGATGCGGGGTTCCCCCGCTCCGGCCTGCGGGAGAAATGCAGGTCAGGCGGGGCCGGGTCTCTGCGCCCCGCTCCGGCCGGGAGCGGGCCCGGGACAGGCGCGCGGGGGAAGCGGACGAGGGCCGCGGGCAGCGAGAGCTGGAGCCGCCCCGAGCCAGGCCAGCTGCCCCGGAGGCGCAGGCTGTGGCCGTGCCCAGCCCCCGCTCGGATTGGCCGGGGAGGCCGGTCGGAGGCCGGCACGTCAGCTCGCCAGATGCCGGGGGCCGGGTCCGGGGGCCGCTGCCAGCCCGGCGTGTGCGCTGGCTCGGGATGCTGCTGGTGCCGGAGTGTGGCTGGGCGGGTTGAAAGGAGTCTGCTTGTCTGAGCGCTGTGCTGCGGGCTTGGGGTGTGCGGCCAGCCCGGGCCAGATCCCTGCAGCGTGTCCCGGGAACCAGAGAGGCCGATGTCAGGGGCTGGTGCTGATCCAAACAAACCCCAAATCTCTGTGCCTTGGAGGTGCCTGGCCCTGGCACACACACACCTGCCTTGTACCCGGAATTCCCCCCTCGCTCTCCCCAGCGGCCACGGCTCATACCCACCTGAGACAAGACTTCCTTTTGTTTCCCAATGAGAAATAGTGGCAAGAATCAAGGGCAGAGCCTGGCCCCAAATGGCCAAGGTTTAATTTATACAATACTTCGGTACAATGCTTTTAAATAGATCTTCCAATGTATTTATCCTAATGAATCGACCTAAGCTATGTCGACTCCAGCTACGTTAGTCACATAGCTGGAGTTGCGTAACTCAGGTCGATTTACCCCCACAGTGTAGACAAGGCCTGGAACACAAATTGTGTGAAAGTAGCAGAGATTGTTAGACTTCCAGCAACAAAGTCATTGAAGTCTATGGCGCTTCACCTGAAGAAGCACTGAAAACCTGGGCCCTCTTTTTTTCAATTGTAAACTTGGTTCGTACAGGAAACCCAGTGCTGAGTTCCGTTCCCAGCTTCATCAATGACTTGCTGTCTGACCTTGAGCAAATCAATACACATTTCTGTGCTTTAGTTTATCCATCCATAAAATGGGGTCAATAAACTTCCCTATTTCACAGATACTTATTGGGAGGCTTAATTAGTAAATATTAATAAAGATCCTGGTAGGAGAAATGGTATGTATCATTAATTGTATTGTGATTAATAAGAGTGAAAAATGGGCACAAATGTTTACATACTCATAAACTAATAATGTGTAACAGGTTCAGGCGGTGTAGATTTTTTTAATTTAACAAAATGAGCCACGCTCCCAGCGCTGTAAGCTAATCCCCTCGGGGAGGTGGAGTACCTGCAGCGCTGGGAGAGCTCTCTCCCAGCGCTGGCACCGCGACCACACTCGCACTTCAAAGTGCTGCCGCGGGAGCGCTTTGGAGTTTTGAGTGTAGCCATGCCCTAAAACTGGGATAATTGCACTGGTGTAAGCCCTGCCCAACCAGTGCAGTCAACTATTATCACTGACCTGATAGAACATATGAAATCACTGCTAGTAAAATTGGCAGATGACACAAATTGGTGGAGTGGCAAATATTGATGGGCTCAGGTCAGTTATACAGCCTGATCTGGAGTGCTTGGTAAGGTGGCTCATTTGAACAGCATGTATTTTAATATAGCCAAATCCACGTGGGAACAAAGAATGTAGGTCAGAGCGAGTATCCTGGAATGCAGTGACACCAACAAGGACACAGAGGTCACGACAGATAGCCAATGAGCATGAGTCCTGTACATAAGAGGGTTAATGCAATCCTGGGTGTATAAGCAGGAGTAGGGACATGCTATTACCTCTGTAACAGCACTGGTGAGATCATTACTGGAACAGTGTGTCCAGTTTTGGTGTCCACACTTCAAAAAACATGTTGAAAAATAGTAAGAGAGCTACAAAAATGATTCAAGTTCTAGAAAACCTACCTTATATGAGAGACGTAAGAAACTCAATCTATTTAGTTTATCCAAGCGTAGGTTAAGAGGGGACTTGGTCACAGTCTACACCTATCTACCCGGGGAAGGGATTGTTGATGGTAGAGGGCTCTTTCATCTAGAAGAAAAAGGCCTAACAAGATCCAATGGTTGGAAACTGCAGCTAGAACTTTATTTTAGACTGGCAATAAAGTGCACATTTTTTATACCGAGGTAATGGACTGTTGGAACAACTTACCTAGGGCTGTGGTGGATTCTCCATCATGTGAAGTCTTTAAATCAAGACTGGGTCTATTTCTATCAGACATGCTCAGCCAGAAGTTATGGGCTTGCTGCAGAAGTTACAGAGTGAGGTCTGCTGGCCTGTGTAATGCAGGAAGTCAGACAAGGTGATCATAATGGTCCCATCTGGCCTGAACATCTCTGAATCTACACTGGGGCTTTGCACCGGTGCTGCACAGCTGCATTAGGGCTTTGCACCACTGCTGCACATTTGCACTGGGGCTGTGCACCACTGCTGCACATCTACACTAAGGTGCAGCCAGTGCAAACATTCTTAGTACTGGACTCTGGCACGAAAGATTAAAATCAGTTACTTCAATGAAGGATTTCCTGCTTCTTGATTTAAATCATTATTGAAATCAGTGATTTAAAATCACTTTGATTTAAACCCGTCCACCCTGGTGAGAGGCACCGAGCAAGTGGAGCTGCTGGGATCCCTGCTTCTCGCTCCCAGGAGACTTGGAAGAGGGAAAGCAGAAAGAGAAAGCAGTCATCTTTCCCCCATCGCCCTTCTGCCTCCGTGTGACAGCAAGCAAAGGAGGGAGACAGAATAATTGCAGCCTGATGGCCTGTCATTGCTTTAACATAGGCCTGATTCAAGAACAACTGAGCCTTGCTGGAAAGCTCCTTGTTAGCAAGACCCTAAATTCAGCGTGCTGGTGTAATGACCCCCCCGCCACCCCAGGGCCATCGGCTGGGATTGGACAGTGCAGGCCTCTGAGACAAAGGAGTAACTCCCTTATGGGGAGCAGTAATTTCAGAACAAGGGTGTGGGTTTGTGGAGAGAGATCAGATTATAGCTGGGGGGGGGGTGTGAGGTGCCCCCTGCAGACCCATGGTTCCCCAGGGGCTCACACTCACCACAGAGCTCTGTCAGCAACACAGCTCTCACTCCATGCCTGGGGCTCCCAAATGTGGGCTCAACCCATCCGCCCTTTCCTGTGGGGCTCCTGATTGCGTGTGTGCAGCTCTCCAGGCCCCAGTGACAGGGGAGATCTGGGTTCCTGGGAGTGCAGGTCATCCAGCGTGCAGAGAGAGATACAAGTGGAGACCGGCGAGCACCCTATGAGACCCCAGGGGGAACATAATGGGGGAGGGGGCCCAGGAAGGGAGGTATAATGGGGGACATGGCTCCGGGGGATGTAACTTGGGGAGAGGGGCTCCAGAGGGTATGGGGGCAGGGTGTACAGTCCCTCGAGGAGGAAAGTAATGAGGGGACAGAGACTGTAGGGGGGGAGTGAAGAGGAGTGGGGAGGGAGATGCTAATCACCCCGTTTCTTAGCCCGCCCACCCCCCTCCCTGAGGCACCCAGGTGTCACCTCTCCCCACTGAGGCACCCAGGCTGGGGGAGGAGACATTCTGCCCACCGAGCGGGCACCCCAGAGGCGGGAGGGGTCGCTGCGGGGGAGCTGTGACTAGGACAGGTGGGGGGGACGGTCAGTCAGGGAGCCCTGTGTGGCAGCCACCGGCTGTGCAGTGTTTGTAAAAGTGTAAATAACAAGGTAAGAAAAGAACATTGGGAGCCTGCCC